ACAGAGTTGATTGAGAAATTTCCAGTAAATTGTCAATGGAGTTGATATAGTAAATGTTGCCAAGACAGCTAATCTCTAGTGTTCTAATATATTAAAAAAGTATAAGGAATCAATAAAAATCTATTCATAAATGAAAATAAGATTTGTTTTATTATTGATCAAAAGAATAATTGTGAGATTTGTACTTCAGTTTTAATATATAGCTGTGTTTGTTCATCTAATTCTATTCTCCATTCAACTAGTTGAACCTCATGTGACTTTTCACAGTGAAAGATTTACAGTCTTTGCTGTAGGTAACTGCAGATAATAGGAACCTTAAACAAAAATATTTTCAAAATTCATTCAATATTGTTTCCCAGGATTTTTTCTTGATAAGCAAAAGCTGAATTTGGGAAACTTATCAATGGAATGTTAAACAGGTATTCAGTTGCAATAAGTAACAAATTATATTCAACTAGAGATTAATTATGAATTTTATACTATCATATTAAAAAAATAAATAAAAATACCTGTCTAATAATTCTCTTAGAAGTAGTTCCTTTTCTTTAAACAGTACACCTTGAAAGTAATTAAAATTTTTAATGCAAACTAGTACTTTATTAATTCATAAACTGGTATAAATCTCAACATTTTATGTAACTAAAAATTCCTACAAATAATTACAAAGATATGAAATAATCTATTAATTTCATATCTGATGATGTTTACTGATAAATAAACGTCTTAAAATTTGTGAAGAGTAGACATTTTCAAAGTTAGCCACTAAGAAACAAAAAAGACAAAACTAATAAAAGACTTGTCCTAATTAACAGCTTGAATTTTTACTGCCTGTCTAGAAAGTGATAAGACTTTTCAGACTATTTTTTCTAAATATATATATTTTTTCTGATTAGATTGTTTCTATTTCAAAATTGAAGATTTTAATGACAGTATCTTGTATATAAGTTGACACATTCACAGAAATTATACCTTGTAATAAATTTTGAAAAAATAGACAAGGGTTTAGTGTTCTTGACTCTGCTCCAGGATAAAAAAAAAGTTCATATCTTTTAAAATTTAGAAACAGCTCTATCATATTCAAAGATCTAGGTAACACTAAAAGTTTAGGTTCCTTTTAGGTAAACACCGATATCCTAACAATCCTTGTTTATTGAGTAAAACATACATCTTAAAAGAACATTTGAAATTAGAGAAAAAAAAAAACCTAACAGAACAAATTTTCCATTTTTATTTTAAAAAATTTAACAGATCTGAAAAGGAGATTGAAAATTTTACATGATTGCAATCAATGAAAAGTAACAAACAATCCATCTTCTGTATCTGAAACTCTAAGGTTAATGTATAAAATATATAACTCTTAATAAAATATTCTCAGATAAATTCAAAACCAAATCTAAGAAAAAAAGGAATTCACTAAAAGAATAAAAATAAAAAGACATTCTAGCTAAAAATGAATTCAGTAAGAGTAATCTAATGCCTTTTCAATTCAAATTGTTAAGTCATAAAACACTTATATATATCATCTCAGTTCAATTTTGGTTTTAATGTTAACATTATTTTAATGGGAACTTATAGGAGATAAATATATAGAAAGAGATTATTTATAAAAAAAATAAAAAAGATAATATCCCAAGATCTTTAGAGCAGTAGTTGGGTTTGAATTAATGTTAAAAGATTTAATTTCAAAGATACCAACTAAAGCAGTTAATTCTATCAATGAAATGTCAGTAGGTAAAAAAAAAAGTTCACATTAACTACATCCATATTTATTTTACATGGTTAAAGGAGACTTAGTTTAATTCATTCCAAGTGTCAGCTCACAAAAATTGCAATTTATAAAACATTTAATATAATAATATATTTGTGTATATTTACTTAAAATCAAATTATAACAGTTTAATAGAAAAATAGTTTCATAATAGAAAATAAAAGTGAAAGTTCCATTTCAAATGCATAAAAAAAATGAATGCTTTTACTGTTAGTTATTTATCAACACAAGAATTAGTTTGATATATCCTATCATATCTACTGTGACTCAATATTAAAAGATAAATCCATTAAACAAAAACAAATGAACAAGTTAATCCTATTAAAATCCTACGCAAAAATCCAAGTTAAAAATAATTATCATTTTAACATTATTATTTATGCCCATAATAAAAATCCACTAAAAACAGATACAAGACAAGTAAATATGAGAAACAAGGATTATTATTTTCTTCTTTTGCCAAATGAATTTGGATAAAAAATAAAAATAAAAAAATAATCAGTTAAGTCTTTGTATTGGCAACATTTGAAACGGGTTTTTATTTGATCATCATTTGCAACTTGCATAGAGTGATGATGACAGAGTTTATATCAGACAAATATTGATAATTTAATCCAATATTGGTTAGTTTGATATTTGCAGGAAACTGCACTAACCCCTATCTTTAACAATTTTAAGTATTCAAAATTAGTAGACATCAACATTTGAAATAAAATCAAGTATCTATCAATAACAAGAAACAATAGAAATTATGCTTTCAAATATTATGTATTTTGGTAGCATTTAATCTAAGGCTTTAAATTATTTTATCATATATGCTAAAACATTTTATTGGATGATAACAGTAATCTGATACAGGTATTAATGGCACAGGCAATAATATAGTTGACACAATCACAAATTTACAAAATCACACAATTTCATTTAATTTTGTATCAGATACTTTTGATATAAATCATTGGTATTTTAGTTTTTATTTAAATGCATTCTTCCTACAAATTATTGTAAATCAGACATTTGAAATTTGTTTTTAGTTGAAACTATTCTGATGTTGATGTAAAGATAACATTTCAATTAGCAATCACAAATTTTCTTCAGGATGTACTGGCAGCTGGAATAAGACTGATGAGAAATTTTTTTTTTCAAATAGAAACTAGACTAAAAACCATACTGAGTAGATGCTAGTCCAGTCATATGGCTAGAGTCATGGGAAATGAAAAGAATCAATTGAAATTAAAGAGATAGTTAAATAAATAGATGTACAAATCAAAATTAGAACTAGAACTGCAAAATGTAATAGCAAAATGGTCATGAAACTCAAATCAGTATTCAAAGTTATTAGTCTTTCTACGGAGATTTAACAGTACTTTTTAATGCTGGACCTGATTATGAAATTATTATCAGAAGTCTAAGAGAAAACTTAAATATCCATCCTTCAATAAGTCTCACTTAGATGGCAGAATCAAATTAATTCTATGCTTATGAATCAACAAAGAAGTTCTTAGCAACATTTTCCTTGTGATTTGAAAGTGTTGTCATATTGAACATTACTGTTCAGAGTTTTTCTATACTAATTTTTAGAGGTTTTTGCAAACCTAAATAATATGAACATTTTAAAATCAATGAATAACACTTCATTCAATTTTCATATTATCAAAGATATAGTTTTCAAAAATATATTTATCATAAAAATTGATATAAATTTTGACTAAATTAATAAAGAATTCAAATGTTTTTGTTGCAATATGCAATAAGTAAATGCTATATCAAAGACTTGTTGTCTACCAAGCAAATGAGATTTCCAGCAAAACTGGTTTGAAAAAGTATGAGGTGTCAGCTACCCCAGAGGAAGATTCCAATCAACAGTTAAAAAAGAACTACCAATTTAGGCAATTACCTTGCATATTCTTGAGGAATGAAGGAAAGAAGGAAATAAACAGCAGCAGCAGACAGGAGTGGCTGTAAGACATCATACACATGCATGCGTGTGCACACACACACACACACACACACACACACAGACTGCAGTTAAGGTCAATTTACTTCCACTAAGTGACTATTATAATAAACATCTGCATAGGTGAAAAACTCTAGATAGGATAGCTGAGGAAACAAAGCTTGAAAACTTACACCCAACAACCTAATATCCAACAGCAAAATATCATGTATTCTTCTGGAGACACTTTGATGGACTGGTTGTAGTCAGACTTTTGGTTTCAGATTCAAATAACATTTTTTATCTCCTTATTGTGTAAAGAAAATGCAATTACATTATGACATTTTCAAAGAAAACCTGATTTCCAATAATAAATTTTCACTTTGAAGACTTCATTCAAAAATGCTGTTTTCAATATAAAATATTTTAAGGGTTTCTGTAATGATCTGATAACATCATTAGTAAAACGTACTTTATTTAGATTCTAAAACTATTACTTAAAAAATATACATTTATTTCCCCATTTCCAAATATATTTAAATTTAAAGGATTAAAAACACTATTCATTTCAGTAAATCTTTAAAAAATCTATAAAGTAATATATAAATTGTACAGTTCTTAAATTGAACAGCCCCAACTTTGCATATTTATTATAGAATCTTCTTGCCTTCTGACTTTATCAATTCTCAACTTTTGAAAGTAACTCTTATAAACATGTGCAAGTCTTCCCAATGTAAGTATGACTCCCAAACAGAATATCAAATATAAAAGTAAATATAAACATGATATCTACAATTCTACTATAAAAGGGTTATAATTAAAGTATCTTATGCTAAACAACATTATTCATGATGAGAAACAATCATTCATTTGTCATCAAGTGATGGTTTGAACAGGCTGGAAATATTTTCTGTGTGTTAAATAATGAAACAGCATAAAGAAAATAATGTCATGAGTGAATGCATCTTACAAGAAGACCTAGAAGTTAACCAATTATCTACAGAATAGATTCATGAGTTTTGCAATTTCTTTGTGGCTGTTGATTGGATGTTATTTATGCACAACATATCATAGGTTAAGTGAAACTACTTACTATTAAACAAGTCTAAAAAGAAACTGCTGCAGTTTTACTTAAGAGAAGCTTTCTGTTTTTAATGTAGCAACTCATTTGGCCTAAAGGATACCAACTATCAGAAGTGAGTAGGTGGTACTGAAGAGATGCTTGCTGGATTTTGTATTTAAGGTAGATAGAATAACAAAATCTGGTTGGCCAGGTAAAAAAGTGAGCCTACTTACCGGGATGCCAGGAACTCCTCTCATGCCAGGCGCACCTTGATCTCCCTGGAAAAATTACAAATACATTTATTTAGAACAAGTGAGGTCTCTAAGAGATTAACAAACTATAACCAAACATACCAAATTACTATAAAGGACATTCAAATTTCAATTAAAATTTGTTAAAAAATTATGTATAGAATTTTTAAAACATGTAATGTACTGAAATTGTAATGAGAAATTAGTTAAGAATGGATCTCATTTAATGAAATCCATTCTTAACTAATTTAACATTTCCTCTTTTAAGTAACTTAAAAGGAAATATAAACAAATCAGTTTGGTGTCAAAATTAGGAATTCATTATTTGCTTACTTATTTGAAGATATGAGAATCCTACATAGGAATAACAACTTCCCTTGTAAACACTGTACAAGTAAATTAGCACTAGTTTCACAGTTTTTTGTTTTTTTTAAGACTTGCTTTATTATCTTTTCCTAGGCAAATATGGCTCATGTTAAATGTTTTATGAAAACATGAAACAATGTATGGATTGCATAGAATTTGATGGAGTCTTATTTCCCTAAAGGAAAAAAGAAATCTCCAAGTTTGCAAATGTTTGCTTCTTAGATGAAACATAGATTAACATATATTTGGGCTGTTGTTAAAGCAACACAAATAAAAAAAAAAAAGAAACAAATAAATGAGAGTGAGGTACAATTCCAGATTGGGCTTTACAACAGCTTTCTGATGGGAAGAGAAAATCTACAGCATCAGGATTCAAAATTAACTCAATACATTTGCTAGAGTCATTTTGTTGCAGTTGTGTTTTGAACAATAGCAAACTAATGCTAGTATATATATCTATAGGCTTTCTCATTATATATCTTAGATGGCAGCAGCTTATACACAAATTTGCATGTGTGTTATAACATGTTAGCTTCATTAGAAATGTATGATCACATATTCTAACACCTTTACTTAAATTTACTGAGAACTAATTCCAACCCACCCAATAATTTAAAGAACAGATTTGGTATTGGGTTCAAATAAGAGCAAAAAAAAAAAAAAAAAAAACTTCTTCAGCTCCGGTCAAAGGTTGAGAGAATATATCTGCTACATTTTCTTCAGATGGAATAAATATAAATTATATAACACCTTTCTGGGATTCAGACCAAATGAAGTCATTGTATGCTAATATGATTTGACACTGTACAGGATTTATCTGAGTGTTACAATGCTCGTAACATACTTTTTCAATAATTGATTTAAGAACTTCAACTCTTGTGTTGTAGCTGCTAAAATCTATGCATTTCACTTTGCAAGTGAATAATGTGACAATTTGCATTTTTTCCCAAGATATCAATAGGAGATAGTTTAAAATCATAATCATTAATACTCTGAAGGTCTTTAGAATTATACCAGTGTGCATCACAGAAATCAAACTCAGGAATTTAAATAAGTTTTTGAAAAATATATTTTTTTTCTTTGTATGTTTCAGATAGTAAAAGAAACATGTTTTACCAAGTTTAATGATAGGTTTTTGCCAGGTGTTGTGATAACAGATGAAATCCGCAACTATTTCTCTGTTCAACTTATCACTAACCAATTCTGCACAGACTTAATGTTGTAGAATGGTTTCACTGTGGAGGCTTGTATTTGTACTAAGTCGGTCCTAAAATAGGTTCAACGTACAAAACGTTAGGAACTTGATATAATAGGTAATGACACAGAGAAATCTAGTGGTGTTCGCTGATACTTTTAGTATCTGACTAACGGTCGTCCAACATTGACTGACTGACCAACTCCCAAGCCCTCCCATGCTACTCTTACTACTCCTACTTATTATAGGTGGGAGAGTCTATTAACTATAGAATAGGGGTGTTCCACTATAACATCCCCGCCTAAAACTTTACTCCATAGAAGTTAACAATTTTCTTTATTTTTCATTTTTTTTTTTTTTTTAGCAACATCGTAGCGTATTTCCTACGTTTTAAATGATCAGTTGCCTTTCTTTTTTCTTCTGGATCGGCGTACCTCAGGTAAAATTGTTGCAAGTGTTGTTAGATCAAACGTATTGAAAATCACCTTTTTTTCCACGGGACCGCTGTCAACCATGTCTGAAAAACGTCATCTGATCTGGTTACTGCACGTGAATTTTTCGCCTTTCACCAAGTACATCATATAGCCAATCCGCTTTTCTATTTTTTTTTGGTACCTCCATAATGTTACCAGAAACAACCTTCTGCTTTGAGCTTTTTAAGGATGGGGTCAAAGTTTCTGTAGGTTCTTCTTGTGGTTCTATTTGTTCAGCCTCTAGCTTTCCTTTTGTTGATCTTGTGCTTCTTAACGTTTTCTGTGGTGACTTCAGTTGACTTAAATCATTTAATAATACTGCATGTCCTTGGCTGCAGGTAACTCGCTCCCCAGTTTTTCTCGTGTCGGCTTCATCTTTACTTTCTGGAGCTTTTTTTTCACATATATCGTCGGTGTTACCCATTCAACTCTTTTAAATACACTGGTTTTCTCTAATCTGTCCAATTCTTTATCTATCTGTTCAATTGAAGCAAACAGCACATTCCTTTTCTTTTTGAATACCACCTGAGCGTTTTCTTTTGGCTGGAATTTTGCCTCCATCTTGGTACACATTCCCAAACCTGGAGAAAAAACAGTAGGAAATGTTTCCTTAAGTTTCTTCACTAATTTTTTGGCTTCTGAGTTTAAACTTTCAACCTTGTAACAGAAAGAATTTATCGGTAGATCCCATAATTGAAATTCTGTTATCCGATTCGTACCAAGTAAGTTCGTGGTATTTTCTATGACAAATAGTTTAGCTTTTCGCATTTTTTTTATTTAACGTGACATTTGTAACAAATTCTCCAATAAATTGTATTTTTTCTCCCGTCACTGACCTCGCGATTTTATTTGTTTTCATTAAAGTTGGTTTCCCCAACTTCTTCCACGTATGCAAATTTATGATAGATAGGTCGGAACCAGTGTCGAGTTGCATTTTTATTTTTTATTACTTATTTCGACAGTAACAAATTTTCTAGTTATTCCATCGTTCACCTCGTCGGACTTTAATTTTCTTATTTTATTGTCTTTATTTCTTGAGCTACAGTGCAAGCTTTTATGATCCACTCTTTTACAGTTAAAACATTTTTTATTCCTAAAATTGCAATATCTGTACCAGTGTAGTTCACCGAAAGCAAAACATGGCTTCGGGAGTTTTTGTTTATTTTTCTCTGATATTTCACTTTTTGTTTGATAATCCGCAATTTTAGAATTCTTTTTGTAGACTGACTTTCTTTTTTGTAGCGTATTTTCCTTACATGCGAAACGCCAGACTGTTCTATCTTTTTCGAATCTTTCTTTACGCTAACATATCTTGTGCAGTCTTCTGACAACTTCTGTATCGTAAGACTTGGTTCGTTTTCCAATTTTGACAGTACTAATTTTTTCAACTCTGCGTCTCTTTCCGATACCAGCCCTTGAACAAGCACTAAGTACTTAAAATTGTCAGCACTTAACTCTGCTAGCTTGAATTCTTCACAATGCTTATTCACATTGGCTGCGTACGTTATATAGTCTTGTTTATCATCTTTCATCAGATTCAAACATTTCCACCTCTTGTGAAACAAAGATGTCTTTTTACTAAATAATTCACTTAATATATTTACCGCCTCAGTAAAAGTCAACTCGCTAGTTTTTTTCGGTAAAATGTAGTTTACCAATTTGTTATGCTCAGCAGTTCCTAACTTGCCTAACCTTCTTTCCTTCATACCACGAGTGGCAGTCCTCGTTATACACGTCCGTATATTTTTTTATAATACTCCTCAAAAGTTATCTCTTCATCTGAACTGTACGTGAATATTTCAATCGAATTCCATATTGTATTCTCTGGGAAAGAAACATTTTGTAGATTTTTCTCTTTCCTCTTCTCAGTTATTTCCAGAATTTTGTTTTGAAACTCCTTATGCATCTGTTCCATTTCTCATTGAAACTGCATCTGTCTATTAAAAGTTTTCTCCTGTAGTTGCATCTGGAATGTTTTCTGTTGCTCTAATATTGTCATCTATTGTTCTGTCTGGAACTTAAAAATTTCCTGGAATATATTTTTGCATTCCTCCATCTTCGCAAAAAGTTTACACAATGCTTAAATATTGTAGAGGGGTGTCCTAACGAATTTGCAATTCGTGACCTATTTGAGCAAACTGTCTTATCGAGAAAAAAAAATTCTTTTCTCAGTTGAGAATACGACTGATTTTTTTGTCACTAAGTTGACGTCTTGTCTTTCGAAAAACTTTGCCAAGTATTTTTTTTTTTTTAATGTGAATCCGAGATGTCGCCGAAAATTGTGACGAGCAAGTTTTTTTTGTTTTCTTTTTCCTCCACATGAGTACGAATTTTGTTACCAAATAATGTGGCGAGCGAATTTTTTTTCTTCCACCATATGAATCCGAATCCCTTTGACAAATTTGTTATGGCAGGTGAAATTTTTTTTTTTTTTCTCCGTATGAGTTCGAATCCTCTTTGCCAAGTTTGTTATATGGCGAACAAATTTTTTTTCCTCCATATAAGTTCAAATCCTCGTCATCAGATTTGTTATGGAGTACGAATGTTTTTCTTCCTCCATATGAATCCGAATACCTTGTCGCCAAGTGTTGTAGAGTGGTTTCACAGTGGAGGCTTGTATTTGTACTAAGTTGGGCCTAAAATAGGTTCAACGTACAAAACGTTATGAACTTGATATAATACAAAATAGTGGAAATCTAGTGGTGGTCGCTGATACTTTTAGTATCCGACTAATGGTCATCCGACATCGACTGACTGACCAACTCCCTGAGCCCTCCCACGTTACTCTTACTACTCCTACTTATTATAGGTGGGAGAGTCTATTAACTATACAATAGGTGTGTTCCACTATAACACTTAATCAATTTCATATCTATTTTACAAGGAGTGAATATGGATTTATAATTTTGCATACCAAATTTGATTATCAACTTTCCTATATACCTGACATGTGAGATGCTTGAACGGAGACAACTGAGGACTCTTCTGGTGCT